GATTATAATGTGAGGCAACGGGCACAGGCTCAGTATTCGCAGGGCATTATGCTCAGCACTGTTATTCAGCCAGTCCCTGCTGTTTTGGGTATATTTTGGTCGCACGCACATCGTACTTAATTATGTATTGTTGGTAAACCTCTATACAGTCAATATGTGTTAGATAAAAATACTTATTACAGAATAAACATACAGTTATTCGGCCTAAAAAAGATTTCTGTTCGTGTAATAACTCCTTTTTAACCTTTTTTTTAAATGTTGAAGAATTAATATTAAAATTTTCTTTTAAGGGTGGTGGCAAATCATTCCATATTTTTGCGGCCGAATATTCAGCATGTTTGAGACTCTTTTACGTATTTACTTCATGGGCATTCTTACTCCAATCTAATTTATTGTATAAATACAGTGGACTTTTGTTACTAATAATTTTGTGAACTAAGCAAACCAAGTGGAGTTTCCTACGTGCGTCCATTTTTAAAATATTATTTTCATTAATATATGGAGTAATGTGAGCTCTTTTTGGGACGTTAAAGCAAAAACGAGTACATGCGTTTTGCACGCGTTGAATTGCCTTTTTTGTTTTTGCATACAGTCGTGGGACATAGACGGTATCGCAGTAATTAAAATGTGATAACACTAATGACTCAACTAAGGTCTTCCTGATCGTTACTGTTAAGTATTTTCTTATGCCATATAAAACCTTTAAACGATAAAAAGCATTACGTACTTTAATATTTACATGTTCATTAAATCGCAGTTGGCTATCGAGGGTAAGACCAAGGTTATTAGTATGATCCACTCTGAGTACCTTTTTTTTTGTTGATGAGTATTTCCGGTTTCTTACTTGATATTTTTTTACATTGTGTTTTACTTCCTAGCACCATATATTTTGATTTTAAAGGATTAAGGGTTAGACCATTTTTGTTTGCCAAAAAAAAAAAAATTGACAAATCTTCATTTAACTGCATAACTGCATTTTCCGTCTGTTCTGGCTTGAACGAATGATAAATTTGAGTATCGTCGGCATACAGATGTATTTTACTATGTTTTAATATTTTGCTAATATCCGCTGTAAATAGTATGAATAGAATAGGGCTTAAGATAGATCCTTGCGGAGTGCCTCGGGACGTTCTTCTTACACTTGATTGTATTACTTCCCCCTTGGTCAGTGTTAATTTCAACATATTGACTTCTATTTGACAAGAATGAGTAAAACCATTTACACGTTGCCTCCGATACTCCGTAGTATGACAGTTTCGCCAGAAGTATATCATGGTTTATGCAGTCGAAAGCTCTAGTAAAATCCAATAGCACCAGTATACTACCCTCACCTTTATCAGAAGCTGCAGTTATATCATCCGTGACGTGCAGCAGAGCTGTTTCCGTACTATACCCTCTACGAAACCCGGATTGTGTTTCTGGTAAAATATTATTATCTTCTAAATATCTCGTTAACTGTGAACATACTACCCTCTCCAATATCTTGGTAAGTGTAGGTAAAATGCTGATTGGTCTAAGGTTATTAATTTCCTGTACGTTTGGACTCTTAGGAATAGGTTTAATTTTGGCCAATTTCCAAGGATCTGGAAAAATCTTAGTAGTAATGGATTCGTTTATTATTCCTGTTATTATAGGTAATGTTACCGATAAAGATATACGAACCATATCTATATTCATTAAATCGTGTCCACTGGCTTTAGTTCCAATTGCTGTAATTATTTTATAAACCTCAGATTCTGTTGCGGTTGTAATATTAAATTCAGTGTTTTTTAATCGGTTGCTATTGAAGTAATTAAAAGTACTTTTATCTATGTCACTATCTCCTGGCAGTTCTATAAAAACTATTAATAGTATCGGGGTTACAGAGGTGTGATGGTACGCATATTTGTCCTGATTGGTTGGTTCCCCACGGGCGATATTCGCTTCAGATGGCTCCACATAGTTTTTGGATTACCCTGATTTTTGTTAATAAAAAACGTAAAATAAGCTGACTTTTCTCTATTGATTGCGCTATTTACTAAGTTTCTGAGACTTTTATAATAGTCATTGTGCGAATCCTTTCCTGAAATATTGGCACGATTATGAGCAGAGTCACGGAGTGTCATCATTAATTTTATATTGTCTGTAATCCAAGGTGTTGGTTTTTGTTTTAGCCTAATTAACTTTAAAGGTGCATGCATTTGAAAAGCTTCAAGCAACATACTACTAAACTGTTGAACTTTTTTGTGGATATTATTTTCAATTACAGTATCATACCAAGACAGACTTTCCAGATGAGCTAAAAATTCATTTTGATTAATTTGTCCTAAAGACCTCGTGTGTATGTATAGCTGTTTCTCCTTAGGTTTATTAATTTTAAGTTCGAAAATCACCATGGCATGGTCACTCAGTTCCGTGTTATGGTATACGTTAATACTTTTGCATAATTCTGGAGAATCGGTCAATATAAGATCTAGAAGTGATTCTTTTCTATCAGTAATGCGTGTTGCTTCATTAACGACTTGAAAGAGTCCTTGCTGCGATAAAAACGTATTTAATTTGCGAGCTATTAATTTATCAGGTCGTAGGAGGTCAATGTTAAAATCAGTTAATAAAAAAATGCAATCACAATATCCGAAAGTACTTACAGATTCACTTAGTGCATCCATCGCAATCTCAATATCTACCGATTCTGGTCTATATGCTGTACCAATCGCGACACGTCCGCTGCCGGGAATCTTTAGTTCAAGCCACATTTGTTCTAGTTGTGATTCCTGGTGTTGCGTGGTCCGCAACCGAAGTTCTTTTCGAACAAAGAACCCTACACCGCCTCCGCGGCTATCCCGTGGGCGTGGTTTGTGTTTAAGTGTATATCCTGGTACTAATATTGCCATCTTTTCTTCGCCTTTTTTTAAGCCACGTTTCATTAAGAGCAAGAATGTCAGGTTTATATTTGTCAAGACTGGCCAATAACTCATCTTTACCTGTATTTAACGATCTGACATTAAGTAACCCCAATATTAAACTGCGATTTTTATTTAAAGGACTCATTACGAGGGTGGATTGAAAAGTACTCGGCCTAACCAAGAAAATAAACACATACTAAATCAGTAATATTTTTATTTTTCTACATAATCACCATCAAGTTCAATACACTTTTTGCCACCTCCCCTTCCAAGCATTTAGACCGTTGAAAAAAAATGATTCTTCCTTAGAGTCAAAATATGCGTATACAGCTGCTTTGACCTCGTCGTTTGTCGAAAATCTTTGACCTCCCAAGTGCTTTTTTAGTTAGGGAACAGAAAGAAGTCTGATGGTGCCAGATCAGGTGAATACGGCGGATGCGGTAACAGTTCAAAGCCACAGTTGTGAATTTCAGCCATTGACTGTACTGACGTGTGAACACGGGCGTTATCTTGATGAAACAGGACTTTTCTTCTGAGCATTCCTCGACGTTTTTTTTTTATTTCCTCTCGTAAACGACGTAGTAAGGTGCAGTAGTAATCAGAGTTTATAGTCTGACCCTTTTCAAGATAATCAATCATAATCACACCTTTCGAGTCCCAGAATACTGAAGCCATCACCTTATTTGCCGACAAAATCGACTTAGCCTTTTTTAGGGGGTGGTAAACCAGGTCTTCTCCACTGTTTTGATTATTGTTTTGTTTCCGGTGTCCAGTAATGAACCCATGTTTCGTCCATAGTAACAAAACGATTCAAAAAATCGTCTGTATCGGCTTCAAATAACTCCAAACAGTCGCGTGAAATAGTCAATCGCGTCCTTTTTTTGTTCAACTGAAAACAGTCGCGGAACCCACCTCGCAGACACCTTGTGGAAACCCAACTCGTTGACAATGATGTTTTGAGTTCGTTCATAAGAGATGCCTATAATCTCGGCTATCTCTCTAATTTTTAATCTGCGGTCTCCCATTATTAAATCAAGTACTTTTTTTAATATTTTCGTCAGTAGTTGACGTCGAAGGCCTTCCAGAGCGGGGTTCATCTTTCACACTCTCTCTACCACGCTTAAATTCTGCTATCCATTTTTTGACGGATGAATATGACAGAGCACAATCTCCTAATGTACTGACAATGTCATCAAGGATGGCTTTTGATGATAGCCCCTTCTTATGGAGGTACTTAATGACGACACGCTGCTCGATTTGCTCCATTCACGGAAATTATGTCCGATTACTTTGTTAATAAATTTATAAAATCGCAACTAATTATCGCACATGTTTCGAACTTCACACAATGAACTAGTCTGAACTGAACTAAATAATGTGGGCAGATTTGATTTTTAGAATTAAATGGATCTGTGTTAGGCCGAGTACTTTTCAATCCACCCTTGTATTATAAACATATGTCCTCAAAAAATGTGTTGCAACTGTGAGATGTTCTAAGCCCATACGAAAATTATAGATAACAACAATATCAGATACAAAGAAAAAAACGCAACCAGCAACTAAACATATAAAAGGGTGGATCGTGTACACGAAACTCTCTGTAAAGCACCTAAAAATAAATCTATGATTAAAAAATATGTAATTGACACTATTATAAACAGTTTAAAGGTTGATATTACAATTCGTTTTTATGATTTTTCTTATATTTACACTACTTACAATAAAAATTTTAGCATATTTTTTATTATTTACTAACGCTAACTGAACCAACCATATCTTCACCAAAAACCTTAACTAAATCTGTTTCCGAACGAATACGATAGCTCTTCTTACCATGTTCTTGACGTATATATATATTTCCATCTCTTGTCCATACATACTGCCACTTATTTCGCTTAGATATTTCCCGCGACTTTAGAAAGAGCTGACGGTTATATTTAGTAAGGCGTTCATTGATATAAAATAAACGCGGAGATCCAGGAAGATCCATGTCAGCTGTGTTAGCACCGCGTCTCACGCGTGCTGCCTGCAACAGTGCATCTTTTTGTGCTCGGCGTGTGAGCCTTACTACAATTGGTCGGGGGTTTGGCACCGGCTGTCCTTCAACAAGCGCCCTTATTGGCCGACGCGTTTTACACTTACTATGTCACGGTCCTCAATCTCCACAGTTAGTTTCTTAGCGACAGTAAACGTGACGTGCATTAGGTTTTCATTTCTCACCTCTGGTATACCCGCTATCTCCACATCATTGGATAACATCTCCTGCTCACGGTCTTGAAGGTCTAGTTTCAATTGAGTTATTGTAGTTTCCAGGTGTTCAATTCTGTTAGATTCTTTGTCAATTTGTTACTTCCAATGACTCTAATTTAGCCTCTAAATAATCAATTCGTTCGTTATACTTATTCATAACTGCCGTTAATTCAGACAATGTGCTATTAAATTGTACCATTTCATTACAGACTGCACGTAATTCACACCAAAATAACCGCATTTCCTTAACAGGGCTTAAGTCTGAGATCTCAGAAGGAGACATGTTTAGTATATTATCCGTATCTGTTGGTTTGACTATTTTTGCACGATGCGTAATATTATGAGAATTTTCGGAGTTATCCGACTCAACTAAGTCTTCCTGGGGTTTTTGTGATATCGTGCTTGCGCGTACCGGCGTATTGGTATTATCAGTCCTTGGCTGCTTACTGCGGCATTCTATACATTTCCAAGAACGTTTGTTCTCCTAATCCATTAAATGAAAACGTTTATTCGATACATTAGCGCAAAGTAAATCATATTTTAACTTACATATTGAACATCCTAGAAACTCTCTTTGCGGCAAGTTGTTGTTGCACCCCGCACATTTTTGTACTATTTTGCTATTCTTTGTTGACGAAGACATGTCCCGTGGATGCAATATTAATATCAACTTAGCGGTAGACTTAAAATAATCAGCTGATCGTCAGCAATGCAGCCCGGTTGTTAAAACTTCTAAGCGAACTGTTCGACGAAAAGAACGTAAGCGCCGTGCAGATCGTGTCGCTTACGCGTTATAGTCAACAACTTATCAAGAAACACACGTTTGAATATTTACTTTTAATTCTTTCCTTATTTTATGTTTATGTTCCACTAATCACTCACTGTCTGATTAAATACTAGAAAACTAATTGAGTAAAGTTCAAAAAAATATAGATACGCATCAAAATTACCGGTTATTCTCACAAGATAAACTTTTTTTACTAGCTAGAACATTTAGATACGTGCGACCTTTACGTTACTCCGTTACACACTCCAAATATTGTTTAGATTTTGGACTACCGTCCAGAATCATATCTGATCGAGGAACATCATTTACCTCCAAGGCTTTAAAAGATTTTGTGATTCTCACGGAATAAAACATGTTCTACATTGCCGTCGCGTATTCCAGAGCGAACAGCCAAGCTGAAAGGTTCAATCAGGCGATACTAGACGCTTTGACTAAGTATAACTCAGGCAGTGACGAATGTGACTGGGACACGTATACGGGAAAAATACAATGGGGCTTAAACACCACTATCAATAGCTCAACCCAAAAGACTCCGTCGGAAGCCTTGTTCGATATCAAACTCCGTGATAGTATTTCTAACAAACTTATTATTGATACTAAACTTGAGAATTTGAGAGAGTTGAGAAACGAGATCAGTACCAATATCGGAATTGATCAAGGCAAACATAAAATCTATATGATGTGGACGGGGGCTCCCGCCGTAGTTTATAAGGAGGCGATTATAGTTTATAAGGCGATTTGGTTAAAATAACGAGGACGAATTTTTACAACAAAGGTAAAAGTACCAAACTATTATCAAAATTTACTGGCCCGTATATTATAGTTAAAACGTTAGGAAACGACAGATATGATTGCAGATATTACGGGATTATATAAAAAGAAAAGTCATTTGAGAGCGTCGTTGCTGCTGACAGAATGAGGCCTCGGATAAACCAAAATCTTAGTCACAAACAGACGAGCTTTCTAGTACCAAATCTGCTGAAAGTGATCAAGACAGATATACCTCTGGCCGAGTTGCAGCGACGCAAGCAAATGATTTTAAAAAAAATCTGAAGCTAGGGATCTAGACCGAATGTCATGATTAATTGACCTCGTGTTATGAGATTGTATTATTTTATTTTTGTTTTCTGTGTGTAAAGTCACGATAACAAGATGAGTTGTTTTATTTCACGAGGGCAGGCAGTGTGACGTTGACATCAAGGTTCAAACTGCAATGATTTGCCTGCCACCGTGAAGAAAAACAAAAATTGGTTGTATGTGCTATTTGGTGATCGATTAATTTTATTTTATATTTCTGCATTTGGTTGGTCGATTATAGACCTTAATTGCTAGATAATTTTTAAATACCATATATGTATGTTAATATTGAGTGTGCAACCAGGAGTTGCACTCCGGCGGATGGCCGAATGTCATGATTTATTTCTAATAAGTTGCTGCATACGTATTTCCGGTCAAATTGGTAGTAAATCTGCTTGTCTCTGTTTGGCAAGTTAAGAAAAGTGATAAGGGAAACGTTTTTGTTTTGAGATTGAGCCAGCGGTCGGAGCGTCATTCCAGTTGGAGTTGGAGTAGCGGTGGTTTCTGGTCACGAGATGAATTATTCGCCAAAATAGTTTTATTTAAATTATTCATAATAATTCTGTATTATAATTTAAGTTGAAAAGTACCAGCTACGTTATTATATTTATCTCGGATTGTGAATTGTGGACGACACGAATCCAATAAATAAGTTTTCCTATTATCCTTGAGTTTAATTCGTAAAAGGAATAAGGGGCTTTATTATTATTATATAATTTCACCACTTGAATATGTATATAATATTAACACAAGCACGTAAAATACTCGTAGTTGTTCCAGCGCGTGGTCTCCTCCGGTTGTGTCAAATTGCCGCCACTATGAGAGTTGAGAGAACGTAGAGTGCACCAGTGCTAGCGCACACACTCGTACATTATAATCCTGTCCTGCGCAGATGGCTTGTCTCCGTTATGGCTGCCGCGACTGGAATTGGGTCTGAACATTATTATTATTACATTGTCATCAATGCAGCAACATATAGGCATCCGACTAACCATTATGCTGCAGGGTATATAATAACTGCAGCTATATTCTGCCGGTGCCCTTATCAAAAACTTATACGCAGCCGCCATTTTGTTTTCACTTTCAATAACGGAAAGAAAACACAAAATGAGTTTAGTTTAAAGATTTAAATTTTCGTAATATATTTACGTAAATAATAAAATTTGCGTAAAAGGTTCCATCTCACCATTTCTTAATGTGTGCGTTATAATTATTATTTATGATGTGAAGTGTCCCATGGATAAGGATAGAAGTACCTCATTACCTTTTTTAGATGGTTGTATACCATATGCAAGACATGAGCCAGACTTACATAAACTGGCGATGGTGAACTGAATATCTGAGACTGTTATCTGGAATTGGCTTGTCAAACTTAATGAGTACGGCTATTTCTGCTACAATGGGTGAAGCCTGCATTCGGGCGAAATTCAAGCGACTGTAGCCTCATGGTAGGGTGTGGACTGCAAATTCAGATAATCGTAGGTTCAAATCCAGCATTTTAAGTACTCAAAAAATATTCAAGTGTAGGCAGTTAGGGGCTGATATTTAAACAACAGTATTGAAGGATTTAAACTGGACAATAAACATATAAATAAATACGACTAAGAGCGTCCCCATACCAAAGTCTGAAGACAAAAGTATTCAGCTAATGTGTTCTGCCGAAGCATCCTTACGAGTATATCATTTTTTTTATAGAATCAGGTGACAAACTTACACTCATTCCACCTTATGGTAAGTGGATTCTGTGGCCCATACACATTCTCGATTAAACATACATAACTCAGATGCATTGCACCCCTGCGGACTAAGATAGAATGCCTCGTTTCCAGTAAAAAGCGTGTCCGGTTCTCTACACTCACATACGAAACAAAGCAGCATTGAGCTACTATTTTACAACAGTATTTTGTGAGAGCGTGGTCCTATCCCGATCGATCCGACCCAATCGTGCTACAACCATAATATAGCAGCAGCATGGCTCAACCACGTAAAAATAAATACACGTATATCATAAAATGTATATTCTAAATACAATATAAACTTTAGTTTTTGACAGTATAACTTTGGTTTTTATTTCAGCCACACCCACAACAAACCCTAAAGGTATCGCGCGCAGCGTCAGGGCAATATATCAAGGAACAAACAGACCGGAGAACAAAGAAATATTATAAAAATCCTCTTGTATTTGGACTTGGATGCCCTGAGGCTAGAAAAAACATTTCTTTACACCCACATTCGCTGTACACAGCGCTTAATTCCAGACCCTTTGTTTTCTTTACGAGAGATAATAAATGTTAGGCGCAGTTTAAGGAAAAATTATTATTATTATTATAGTATTTTAAAAAGGGAACAAAAAAGTGAAATCAGAGACTTATGTACTTAAAGTTCAAGTTGCAGCCTATATAGGTTTCACTGCTGGGCACAGGCCCCCTCTCATTTCCGAGGGTTTTAGGGCAAGGAAGTGTCGGCCGCGCTGCCCCAATGCGTGTTAGCGAACTTCACGTATCTTCGAAACATATTTTTCTTATTTTTTAAGACATGCAGGTTTCCTCACGGTGTTTTCCTTCACTGCCGAGCATGTGGTAAGTCAGCACTTAAAACTGCAATTAACAATTTCATTAGTGCCGGCGGGGATCGAACCCGGGCTACGATCCGTGTACCGCTTAATATGTGTTGACTGCCTTGTTGGTCTAGTGATCTTAAACGCGATCGCTGATCATGAGGACCCGGATTCGAATCTCGGGTCTGGCCAAAATTTGTTATTAGGTTTTTCTGAAAGAGGCTGATCAAATTCTTAGCGGAAACCCGGAGTAAGCAAGTTAGTGGTATTTCAATCTCATACGTTACCCAGGAAACCGCATAACGCCGTTATTTCTGCGTCTGTTCTCTCTCCGGCTATGTCGGATTACCACGAACTATGAGAGTGAGGGGATAAAGATTGCACATGTGCTTGGACATACCCTTGGCCACTGTAATCCTGTCCTGCCCAGATGGCTAGTCTCCATCGATGTCAGACGCCGTTCAGTCTAGGACATTTTTTTAATATTATGTACGTATACACATATGGTTCCTTTACAGCCTGTCATAAGTCCATTGCTGAAGTACGGCCTCCCCCATTGATGACTTCATAAGGGAATACTTGCCATGGCCATGTTTGGCAGGCGATTTAACAACCGCATATTGTTGTTGACGATAACAAGACGCTGCTGTCTATTACCTGTTTTTCTTTTGCCCTCTGTCTCCTCCGACATATATAATTTTTTTAAATTTATTTCTACAAAATAAAGTTAATGAATAACATCGGACAATACAAATAAACTTACGAAAGATCTTTCATGTACCGCTGATTAGTAACTTCGATCAGCATCGTGCAATCGGTTCGCGTTGCGACAGTTCATTAGGGTAGTGGATATTCTGTGTACCGCCGTGTAGTGGCGGTGTAATGCCATCAAGAAAAAAGCGCGATACCCGCGTCGATAATACTAAATATCGCATTATTCTGCCACTCTTTTCTGTAGAATATAAAATAATCTTTATACGTGTCCAAACCACCGAGGCATTCCTTACTTAATCCTAGTCACAACATCTTACATCTTACATTCTCTTATCACACTGTTTCTCATCCTTATTTTACCTTATCTTATACAATTAATGAAGACTCTTCAACATATTTATTTAAATTTACTTTTCACTATCTAAAGAAGATTGAAAATTATAACGATTTTTACACATGCACAATAAAAA